CATTGTGGGCTGAGAAGTTGGAAGAGAAAGAAACAGTAATCGGCAGCTTTTTTACCCGAGTTGGAGAATATTCTCTACCAATCGGAATCGTGCGCTTATGATACCTATTTATAACATCGAATGAAATTAGGTACAATTTAAAGTCAGTGACTACAAAACATACAAAAATTGATTAACCTTTCAAACTGAAGTTAAAAAATATCTCGGCGATGTATTTCCTCGTCGTGTACACTTTATACAATGAACAGAGGGAGCGCTAGGCGAGGAATACGTGACGTCACGGCTTGGCGCGATGTCACGGTGGAAGGTTTCAGCTAGGTTTTCGCAGATTTGGTTGATAAAAGGGTAAAACTACACTAGCCAATGCAAGACTTCTAAGACAATCATTTAAACGTTTTCTGGTTTTTTAAAAAAAGGATGTAGTTTTTTTTTTTATATGACGAGAGGATTTTTAAAAAATCAATGGTTATAAATTGTCTATCCACTTAAAATATGTCGAGACTCGTGAGTCGCACATACCAGGAAAAATTGTTTTGAAGGCCATCCAAAGATCTTTAACTCTATTCGTATCCATACGACGCGGGGAAATCTGTGCCACCACTTTCCAAAGAGGAAATTTACTTGTTAATCTGATCCGTCCCTTTTGCATAGCAGTCTGTCAAAATGATTTTTTGAGAAATACTGAAAGTTTCAGAGATTTTCTTACTAGAAGTATTCTAAAATGTGAAGAATACAACCCTGGGGGTACAAAATGACCCCAGGGCGTACGGATAGGGTTAAAGACATGTATCGGACTTAATGTTGGTCCCCTAAATTAAACAAAAATATGAGCAGTTTGAACCCACTGTCACGAAGAGACGTCACGTCCGGAAACAAAACTCAATAGGACTTTCCGAACCCGAATCACGCTGAAGTGCCTATTCCAACTTATAGAAAACCTAAGAAGAAGAAGAAGAAGATCATCCAATCAATATCCATCTCATCTCTGGTTGCCTTTATGTGTATCGTCGAAGCAGTCAGCCTCCTAGATGCCATCGATGAGATCGAAAATTAATATA